AGCTCAAGATAGTCAACGGCTGATCTGAGATAATCATCATCAATCTGGACCAAAGCATTATGAACACAGCTTGCAGCATACGATGTTGGTTTGGACTGGAGATCCCCAGCTGCAGCAATTTGTGCGACTCTAAAAATGACATTGCCAAAGAAACCTGGTGGGAGTGGGGGTTGAAATCTCGACCGTCCATCAATGGGAATGAGAAGTTTGGTGTCTTGATCATCTGGCAGTTTACGTGCCTTGCAAGCACATCTCCAAAGATGACCTGCCAACACCTCAAATGTGCTATACTTGATTGTATTAATATTCCCACCGTCATCTTCCACAGAGTTGGCTTTCAAGATGTTGAGCTGCTCCCGCGTAAATCTAAAAATGGACGTAGTAATTTTACTTGTGCTTTTCAGATGATCATAAGCTAATTTCATCTGTGGAAAAGGTTGATATTCAACGTGAGGAAATGCTGGCTGAGGTGGATCTCGGGCACGAAGTAACATCCTGTTCATTAAGGGTGGTTTAATATTTGAGAGATCAAGATCATCACGAGCGACAGCAGACCATGTATTTACAAAGTGTAGACTAGATGGTCCATCTACAATTCGGTGGTCCACTCCGACTGAAAGTGACACTCCACCACATTTGAAATACGTTACCTGCGTTTGCATATATATATGTAGAAATTAAAACCCACAACCATAAAGCGTGCATGTGCATTTTTAAAAATTGGATGAAAATGACTGAAGTTGAGAGAATGATAAAGAAATATTTGATAAAACTTTAATATGTTAAAGTCAATAATATATTATTTTGAACTTTTGATTAAAAAAAAAAAACTGGTGCTAAGACACTACAAGAAAATCAGCCTTCTATGACGAAATTATATGTGACGTCCAATATTTTGTCACAGTTACGTAAGATAAGTGAGGAAATTTTATAAATCGTCACATAAGGGTCTTCACTGGATGTAATTTTTTTTTTTTGCAGCCTTTTCATCACATAATATATTTTAGGATGTTCACAGATTCATTTGTTAAATCTGAGGATGTGCTGCAGCGTCGCTGGCCCAAAACGAAAATAGAAATTTCTCCTCAAGCAGTCTAAAATTGACACATATACTTTCCAGCAATTAACTTATTTTAATACAAAATTTAAAAAAAAAAATTTGGTTAACCAAAAGTTACTAATTTTTGGGTCCCCAATCACTGTCGCTGTGTTCAATAGTACCGCAAACTGGATTTATTTTTTTATTTTTATTTTTATTGTCTTTTTATAACAGATCCATTGGGAACAACATTGGGAACAACAGATCCCAAAATGAAAAGAAATCGAGACCATGAAAAGATCGAGATTCTAAACCCCCTAACCTTACCTAATACTAATAGAGAAAAGGTATAACCAGATCTGAAGGACCACATGCTGTCCTTACATTACAGACCAGAAGGTGCAGACACCCTCTAATTAACTTTACATTTATTTCCTAATGGACATTTATAATATTTAGTTTCCATCAATATGTTCTATGATTTGAAGGTTTTAATTATTTATTTTTCAGATCAATGAAGAGGAGGAATGAATCTTACAGCCTCTTCAACTATTTGAGAAGAGAAGTGCCATTAAACCAATAGCTAGTTGACCTAAGACTTGATAATTTAAAATGACAAAATTCAATGAAACATCTTATTCAGTTCCAAAACTAGATCAAAATTATGTAAAGAGTAACACGGGAGAGAATTTCTCCAGGAAAAGACATTTATAAATGATGCAACAAGAATATACATTTATAAATGATGATAAATATTAAATACCTGTAACACCAAAAAGGGATTTGAGGATACTCCAACCGAGTAATCCATGGCGGGGATGAGTTTAAGGAAATCGGAAGTGGGCGCAAAATCGCCAAA